TCATGCCCTTATCCCCATGGTGTCTGCGTCCATTGGTTAGGCTTATATGCATGCATACAAGTCCTTTGGTTGATCTCTCCCACTTACCCCCACCCTCCCCTACCTTCCCTCTGAGGTTTGAGCATCTGATCAATGCTTCTCTGTCTCTGGGTCTGTTTTTGTTCATCAGTTTATGTTGTTCATTATAATCCAGAAATGAGTGAGATCATGTGATATTTATCTTTCTCTGATTGACTTATTTCGCTTAGCATAATGCTCTCCAGTTCCATCCATGCTGTTGCAAATGGTAGTAGTTCCTTCCTTTTTACTGCAGCGTCGTATTCCATTGTGTAGATGTGCCACAGTTTTTTAATCCACTTATCTCCTGATGGGCACTTAGGCTGTTTCCAAATCTTAGCTATTGTAAATTGTGCTGCTATGAGCATAGGGGTGCATATATCCTTTCTGATTGGTGTTTCTGGTTTCTTGGGATATATTCCTAGAAGTGGGATCACTGGGTCAAATGGGAGTCCCATTTTTAGTTTTTTGAGGGAAGTATATACTCTTCTCCACAGTGGCTGCACCAGTCTGCATTCCCACCAGCAGTGCACGAGGGTTCCTTTTTCTCTGCACAGGATATTCTCTGTGCATCAGGAATTGTTACATCCCAGAAAGGCAACACCGGTCAACAGCCTCACAGCAATATTACTCATTCCTCCAGTAAATGACCATGTTCCCCCTTTCTCCATATATACATGTGTATGTGTATGTGTATATGTGTATGTGTATGTGTATGTGTATATGTATATGTGTATGTGTATGTGTATGTGTATATGTATATGTATATGTATATTTTAAGTTGAGGTAACATTGGTTTATAGCATGATATAAGTTTCAGGTGTATAACATTATAATTCAATATTGTATACACTATAGTGTGCTCACCACCAAGAGTCTGATTTCCATCCATCACCATACATTTGACCTCCTGACCCCCTTTACCCATCTGCCCTCCCTCCACCCCCCTTTTCCTCTAGTCACCACCAATCAGCTATTTGCCTCTATGAGTTTGCTTATGATTTGTTGGGTTTTTTTCATATTCCACATATGTGTGAAATCACATGGTATTAGTCTTTCTTTGCCTGATTTATTTCCTTTAGCACAATCCCCTCTAGGTCCATCCATGTTGTCGCAAACGGCAAGACTGCATCTGATATTAAACTGATCAGTCCCCAAGGGAGCATGAGACGGAGGCCATGGCCAGGATGGCCTTTGGCAGCCAGGGGTCCCTCCCTCCCTGGTGCGGCCTCCCTGCATAGTTGAGGTTGGGCAAGAAATACACATTGTAAATTGCGGGTGAGGTAGATTTTAATGAACATGAAAATTACGAAGCTCATTCTTGGCATGTGTCATTTTCATTTCCAAATCCACCATAAAAAAATTTTTTCTATCCAGACAGTTCCGAGGATACAAGTGCTGTATAAACTTGTTCTTTACCAAAACTCTGTCATCTCCTTTAAAAAAAAAATCAATGTCAGGGTATTTTATTTAGAGTACGATGAATCACCTTTTTTATACCTTCGTTCCCTTCTGATTAAAAACAAAAAACAAAACCCACAAGTAAAGCCCCCCAGCTTCCCTCCTCCCCTTGTGCCTCCAGGTTACGTGTCTGTCTTTTGTGATCCCGACAGAAGGGAAATCTGTTGAGCACGTGTCCGATATTCTAGAGCTCATTCCAGCCCCTGTGTGTTTGAAATACAGCAATATGTGGAAACACTTATACAAACTGTGGTAACAGATCCCGTCCCCCTCCCCCGCGCCCCCCGCAACATAACTTTCCTTCTGCCAAGAAGTTTTTTTTTGGCAGTTTTTAAAAGGCTCACTCTATTAAAATTGTTATAGACCAAATGGTTTTCCGATCGTCTTGACTGGGTGCACAGACTAAAGCCACGGGAGGAAAGGCTGCAGAAGTCGGAGTTCCATTTATTTACCTAGAGGATTGTTATTCATGGGCGGGCACCGCTCTAGAGAACAGTTTATGTGTACAGCTCATAAAAAGGGAGTTAGGCCCGAAAGTAAAGTGACACAACATTGTTTGTTTTGAACAAAGGCTGTTCACAGTGAGGAGATGGGTTTCCAACGCGCTTGAGTGTGAGAGTGCCGTGTTTCCCGTTTATGGGATGTTGATGACAGGGAGGTGCCTCGGCGCGTTGCAGAGACCTTTACCCAGAGCTGCACAACCACCAGCGTCCCCCTCGTGGTCTAGCTTTCTGATGCGACCTTCCTTTCATCTAGTTTCTTTTTTTCCATCTAGTTTTGTTTCCAAAATATGGTATGCAAATATCCAGGGGACACACCAAGTGTTGCTTTTAAGATAGAGGCTCACCAAATCTGATCCATGTATTTGTTGTCTCTTCTTCCCACTCTAGAACAAGAAGCTCCTGTATGAGAAGATGAAGGCAGGACAGAGACGAAAGCGGAGGGTAATGCACAGCGGGCTGGTGGTGGCTGGGATGCCCGGAGCTTTCTGAGTGGGGCATGGACAAGCTGTAACCTGCAGTTGTTGGGATGGAGCAGTCCTGGGAGGGCAGAACAGTGGTCTGTGTGACCAGGCCACTCCCACAAAGTCCGCCTTGGTTCCTGGGATGGCTTTCTCAAGCTTTCGTACATGGTTTTTAGTGCAAAGCCAAGTTTTGTGGTGATTCCATCAGCTCCATTGTACACAGGAAACGTGTGTTGCATCTCTTGCCTGGGTGTACGTGAGGATGTGTCTTTCTTCAGAGGGTCTGGAGGCCACTGGGAGACTGTTCACATATCTGCATCAATTACATAAACACACCAGACAGGGACAAGGAAGTGATGAAAGGCATGCTCTAGGCAACAATGCTGAAGGAATGTGGGGACAAAAGATGAGAAGAACAAACCTCATTCTTCCCACATGCCTCTTTTCTTGGCCTACCCAGATTGATGTAAACATCAACTAGATCGATTATATTGGTTTGCTGACCTCTGAATCTACCAACCATCCCAGGGCTGCCCAGGGTGGGACTTTGGTCTGGATGTGTCATACTGAGCCGCTGTGGTGTTGCCTCATGTAAAGCTGTTGAATTAGCGCTGGGTTTCTCACTCATTTGATGGCACCATGATTTAATCAGTGGTCATTGTCCATTCAGCTAACCCACTGGAACCTTCCTACACAGGAATGCCCGGCCACCTGCCACCATTCTCTGATCATCAGGAGAAAAAGTTAAAATCCTAGTATTACATAGCTAAGTGCTACCAGAGAGTAGCCATCTTTGTTAAAATATACAAAGCAAACCATGTACCCAAGGCCACTGACTGGTTATTTAGAATAATAAGTGCTGGGATCCTGGTGAAATGTGGGACTCTGGACAGTGGTCATGGCGGCTGTGCTGAGAGGTTTGCCGAGTCCAGTCAGAGTGCTTAGGGGGCAGGGAGGTGTTTTTTTTTTTTTAATTTAGCATTAATTCTCAGGACCCTGCAACAGAGACTCCCAAACCACTATGCCACCTGACAAAACACAGAAATCCCATGGCCAGTTTTCTATGCTAGATGCAGTTTTGATGTCTGGAAACAGATCTTTGGGAGAGTTAACAGAGTTATTAGGGGTTTTTCTCAGGTGATTACAGTGTCCAGTGGCAGATGGTGGCAGGAAGGGTATGAAGGGTGTTAGTGGGCTTGAGAGAACATCAAGAAATTCTATTCCAGGAGCTCAGAATACACATAATTTACCAGCAAAATAGCTTGAATATCTCTCCATGGTGCAACAAGGACATTTCCAAATAAGACCAATCATGGGCCCAAAATGAATAACTTAGCCTTTAGCTTTAATTGTCTCTGCTTCTTGGCTCACCATTCCTTCTGCCCTGACTTGAGTAATGACTGTGGGTCACGATTTAGGTTCAGTGATGAAACCAGGATTATCAAAATCAGAATTCTGGCTAGGACACATATTATAAAGGTTTTACTTTGGCCTCAACTTCCTCCTCGTAGGAAAGGCTTAGAATTTGTGAAAATATGGGTCGCTGTGACCCAGAGGTATCAAGTTCTTTCTATTCTCGGGCATCTACAAAGACCCAAGCTCATGCCGCAAACCGTGAGCCTCTCAGGACTGTTGGGGAAATAGAACTCGCCTCCCCTGTCATCATGCCTCAGATGGTGCTCCCATCTTGACTGAAGACTCTACCACCTCAAATGCATGAATCAATAGAAATTATGGGCTTCCCTTTGGGAAAGGCTTTCTCCAATGAAGCTCAGTATTTGCTGTGGGTTTCCAGAGGACATGGAAAGTAGGGATTCAATCCCAACGGTTCTTCAGTTGTGTAACTGAATAATATTCACTTTGTAACCTGGCTAGTCTCTCACCCAAAGCTGAAGATAAATCTATAAGTGTCTTAAGTTCTCCAGAGGATAATTAAAACCAAGTATCATTATTATTACTCTTAAGTTAGGATTCAATGCTAATAGTTAAACATTCATCAACAAAGTTCAACTGATTGCTCCTTTTACTTCTTCGTTAATTTACTTCCCCTTCCCTCCAATCTTTGCCATGTTCTGGGTCTGGTATGAAGGACTATCTCCCATAAAACTCCCTCACCAAGAGGATTCTCCCCAAAGTTACAATGGAGCCCCAGGTGGTTTTATGAAACTTTCCATACTTGCTCATTTTCAATTGAATTCCTATTTGCTTCATGAGTAAAAGGTTAATTCACCTTTAAATGACTTCGCAAATTTTTTAACTCTGAAGATGTATCTTGTTAATATTTGAGGTTTACTATTTGTTTTATTTACTAATAAAGAGCTATCAACCTTGTATTCCACTGTTGATTAAACACAAAAATCTACTTTCCTTTTTTAATGTAGTAGAATTTTCAGAATAAATATTACTAAAAATCACTCAAGAGATTTATGATATGAATATGCTTTTTCAGTTCACATTTGCTCTACCTTCCAAAGATCTTGATATAATTCTTTGGGATAGGCTAGGGCCATTCTAGCTGACAACCTTCTTGTTATAGAAAAGATGTTAGTTATTTTAAATATTTTAAAGATGTCTTCCTGGCATCTTTTGTGACATGACACTTTTCAGATCTCTGAGGACATTGCATATTTTTAAATTCTCAGCTGGTTTGTGATGCATTTCTTCAGGGTGGGTGGGACTGGCATGCTTCATTACCCATTGGAATGTGGAAAGGACATTTACAAATACTAAGCTCAGTCCCAATCCTTCTCTTTGGAGAATGTCTGCTCACCCTTCAAAAGTCACAGCAGACCTGTGCACTCTGCCCATTCATCCCTGGGGACTCTGTATGCAGCGGGATTGCTGATCATCTGCAACTACAGCTTCTTTCCTGTATTTTTGTTCAGTTATTGGAAGGTGACTTCAATAACCAATATTTCAAAACTTTTGAAATTTTTTTTCTACTTGCTAAAGGCTATGTTGTAAAGCTGCAATTACTAATTCAAATCCAAACCTCAAAAAAATATGTATTAGAGAGGGAATGGAAAAACCTTGACTCATTCAGAATACCAACAGATAAAAGAGATTTCAGACCATGGAGTCTTGAGTCAAAAATAATGGAGCCTTCCACATGACTTCCTCCCTTTTTTCTTCAGCTTTTCCATTTCACTGAGGGAAGGTGGAAATGATTACCGAGCCCCTGCTGAATCCTCTTTAGGAGAATGCTGGCATGGAAGAGCCAACATTATAGGATGATCTGTGACTAGTCTGCAAATCGAATTTCACCTTGGCCCTGCTTGGTGATCTTTAGAACCTTCGTCTTGTAAAATAATTTAATGATTTAATGCATTTCAGATTCTCTCTTCCCCTTATTAAGGCCATAGAATAATAATTCTCTTTCATAATGGGCTTGTGTATCTAAGTTAATAGTGAGAGCCTATTCGCTGGTTAATTCCAAATCTTTGTGCCAAGCAAAGGAGGGGGGCATAATGCATCCAATAAGGACTTTATAGCTGCATGAAAGACACAATGAGACACATCTGTCAGACAACGTTTCTCCTCCCACTGAGATGTGGGTTAGTTCACTGGAGTGATTATTTGTTACCTTATAGTTAACCCAATAGACCAGAAATGATCTCATCCACCTATTTTGTGAGGTGTCTATATCGATGTTCAGGTATAATACCAAGCCATGCTATTTTTTTTTTTTCAGAGTGTCAACCCATATCTACAAGGACAGAGACTGGACAACGTTGTTGCAAAGAAATCGGTCCCCCATTTTTCAGACGAGGATAAGGACCCAGAGTAAAGAAGATGCTGGGGGGACACCCACACCGCCATCAGGCCTTGGTATTGCTTATGTGCATCTGTTATTAGAGCCCCCGTGAATGGCGAAATGCTTATAATTTAGTCCAGTGTGGATGAAAAGCAGCTTTACCTTGCTATTGCATTGTCCTTCACTGATAGCCCCGCTTTCTGCTAAATACAAACTTTTAAAAAAAATTTATTTATGAGGATCTGAAATGAGCATTAAAATGAAAGTGTGTATGTCAATAACAATGAAAAGCAGGACTGTGAATGGAATGTCAGATTTCTTGCCGTTTGGAATGCTGCTTTGGCTGCACTGTTTGGGCCCAGTCTGTAAAAAGCTGGCATTTGGTTTTGATGATGTCGCTCACCCAGCCCATGGGCGTTGTTACACACCAATAAAGAAGGTTGTACTCGGAGGAGGGCCTGACACATCTCACTTGGCTGCATCTTAATAAATGTGCGTTGTGTGCAAGCATTGGCATAGGAAGGTTGTTGTTTTTTCATTTAGACCATTATGAAAACAATGTCTTTGCTTACTAGGACAAACTCATGAATAGGAATGTATCTGATCTTAACAATAATACTGTGAGGCAAATGGGGCTGCATTATTATCCCCATTTTACAGATGGTGGGACTGAGACTCAGAGCTTCCATGGAAAGCTGGAAGTGGCACAGACAGTACCTAATGACTAAGGTCTTCTGATTTTGAGTTATTTTTGTTTATTAAGTAAATAATGGGTTTCTGTCATGTGCCAGGCACAGGGCTGGGCTCTGGGGGTGCATCAGCGGCCCGATCTGACACTGCTGAGACCCTCGGGCAGCAGATCATACCATCTTGGTCTCGACGTGTCTCCAGGGGCACTGAGGACGTTGGCCAACTCCACTGTGGTGCTGGAGTCCTGTGCTGCCTGTTTGTGAAGAGGTGTGTGCACTTTCCTTCCAGCCGAACTCTCCCAGGTCAGAAAAGCAATTCAGTGGACGGCTGGCAGAGATCAGTTCATGGGGGAGATGGTTCCCGTGCCTTTTACAGCTCCTCACTCTAAAGCAGACAACAATTTCAGGCTTTGGTAGCATTGGCCTCAATTTCTTTGTCTATAAAAGGGAGGAAGCACTCAGCGAGAAAGATCATCCTTGATTTAATTTTAATAAGTGCACATTTATGTCAGGGCCTTGTCTAATAGAAATAGCTTGACCGTATTTAGTTACCATGTGAGTCTGTTATTGGGGCTTATAAAAATCAAGAAAGGTATTGGCAGCTTTTTCATAGCAGGAGGCATTTTTCCAAGAGTTTCTGCAAGCAGTTTCTCCACCGCCCACAGCTTGAAGCACCCTCGCCACCTGCTTTCAAAGACAGTTCAAGTTCCCTCACTGGAGATGCGGAGGGCTGCAAGGGTCTACCCTATGTGTTCTGGGTTTTGTAGGTATTTCAGTTACATCTCATGCCAGTTCCAGCTCTCAGGCAAACCAAAGACATCTCTTTCACTAAGATTAGAGAGAAGGAAGGAAAAATGGCTAAAGGAAGATGTTTTGTGACCATGAGGAATAGAGTGGAGGTGAAGCAGGAGGAGGTGAGGTCAGACGCGCTCCTGCCCTGCCCTGGTCTCTGAACAGCACAATGGGCTTCCCTGGCTCCCATGTCAGCTGACTCCTCCGCTGCGTTTAGTGTGAGGTCACTGAGGGCAGAGTGGAAGGTGAGTGAATGGGAGAAAGCAAGGTAATTCCCAGGAGCTGCATCTCTGAGGCTCCTGTCTCTGTCCGGTGAGCCTGGCTCCAGGCTCCAGGCTCTAGTCATGCTGCCCGCCTCCTGGTTCCTACAGCCCAAGGAAGCCGTGGCTCCTGTCATATTGTCCTCTCTGTGTTATTTCACTAGCCCCTGTAGCCTCCTTCATCACATGTGTAACCAATATTTTATATTAAATTCCTTCTGTTTGAAATTCTCTGTACCTGCCACAGACTCACAGGTGATCTTAGGGTGTCCCTGCCTTGGCACAGGTGCATGAGGGCTCAGAAAGCCCACACCCACATTTCAGAGGAGGCGGATGGAATGGGAAGTGAAGATGGTGGGGGCCTAGGATGTTGCGTGGGGTTGGATTGGATGCTGTAGCAGCTCTGGTTCAGAGCCTGGTTAATTCCACATCTGTGAAAGCCCCCACTTCTGGACTCCAATTCTCTCATCACTGCAAAATTAAAGCAAAGCAAAACAAAACAAAATAGGTACTGCCCTTCCTCTGACACTAAGAACTGCATCCTGCTTAGCTAAACCTCACCTGGAGCCCTTTTCTAGTGACAGTGCTGGGAGTCAGCGAACATCTACTTAAGGGGAAAAGACTACCCATCGGAGCATCGAACTGCAAGGGGCTCCTGGTGGGCTACTGGGTTCCTCGTTGCTGTGCAATCAACACGAACTCTCCATAAATGTTCATGTTTTCAATCATCATTCAAGCACATACCTGGCAGATGGTCCAGAATCTTCTTACTTAGGGGCCCTGTAAACAATTATCAAAGGCCCCCAGGGGACTTCATCAGTCTGAATTGGGGGTAGGGTGGCCTGGGATCACTGGGGCCTGGGCAGCCACCTTTGACATCCCTTGCTACCACACAGTCTTGTTGGCGAAGCTTTTTCTTGTCTAATGCCTAGACACTTACCTAGCGGGGGGCCAGACTCAGGCTCCAAAACAGCTGACATGGCCTCCAGAATTGGGCTATGAAGTTAAAACTTGCTTATTTCCCAGTTAGAGCTGCCTTCTAGAGTATAAGCCAGTTCCAGGGTCCTGTGGAGCTGCTCTAACACTTGCCTCCTCCCCTCTCCCCTGCCCTCTCTCCAAGCACCACTCATAAACAGACCAGCTCTAGTTAGACCCTTTGTGAGGACACTAGGACCTTCCCCTGCTGTGCTTGGATCATCAAGAAACCAGTGGCCCTTCTCCCAGGAACATTACTCATTTTTGTCTCCACTCCAGGTGGTCTTCCACTCTCCCCTACACACACAGAAGAGGCTGGAAGGTGAAGTAGCCCTTTCACTGGGCACCCAGTAAAACCTCTGCAGAGGGCATTTGTGCACCTACAAGTAGGAGGATAGCAAATATTTTCTCTACGGTTCTGTGATTCGCTCACAAACAATGCATGAGTCAGGACTGAGCCAGGTGGGGAGACAAATGATTTATGAGTCCAAGGAGCCCTCAGTGCAGAGAGGCTGACAGGGAGACAGGAGTCATGGCAGAATCTGGGCAGGTGTAGTGAGGACTCAGTAGCTAACCCAGGGTGGGTGGGTCAGGAAAGGGAGCCAGAAGGTCACACCCAAGCTGAGGCTTAAAAAGTTTTTCAAATTCAGGAGGGAGAATGGAAGGCAGAATGTTTCAAGCAAAGGAATTCATGTACAAAACTATGGAGAGAAAGAGAAAAGAGAGAGAGAGCGAGCGAGCAGGACTTGGAAGTGCCCAGTCTGGTGATGGTTTTAACAAGAGGGAAACACATATTGGAAAACTAAGAGGTAAGTCCAGCAAAGAAGGCAGAAATCATGCCAAGAAGAGCCAAGGCTGAGTGGGGCCACAAAAAAGTATGTGGATTTTATCCTGAAGGCTGGGAAATCCCAAGAGGATTTCATATACGATGGGCGATTATCAAGTTCATATTTTAGACAGGTCCCTGGTGACTGTGCAGACCAGGCCAAAGACTGTTCAAGTTCATAATCCGGAAGAGAAAGAATAGGAGGAGCCCTAGCCAGTTTGGCTCAGTGGATAGAGTGTCAGCCTGGGGACTAAAGGGGTCCCAGGTTGGATTCCAGTTAAGGACACATGCCTGGGTTGTGGGCTTGATCCCCAATAGGGGGTGTGCAGGAGGCAGCCAATGATTCTCTCTCATCATTGATGTTTCTATCTCCCTCCCTTCCTCTCTAAAACCAATTAAAATAAAATAACAGGAATAAGAATTCTATGCAATTAAAAAAAAAAAGAATCGGAGGAGAGGGCAAGGAAATGAGAAATGCAGATATTTTAGGGCACATAGACATTCCAGGTCCTGTGAGTCCTGAGAGCTACTTGTAAAGCCAGGTGGGCTCAGTGCTGGGTGCGTGTACAATCTCCATCTCATTATGTCAGAGTATTTAAGGTTAATTCCAGGAGGAAAAGAACTCCAACATATTGGGTAGATATTCTTCTTAGCAACTTTCACCTAGCAATGCAGTTCAGTCAGAGGTCACTCTTTCCCCTAATTAGGTATCCCTGTTTCTCTTATTATCCTCCTCTGTGTTCCCGTGGGACCTCACATACACTTCCGTACAGTCCCTGGAACAGGGAAAAATAATAAGAGTTACTATGTGTGTAGAACAGGTTCTATAGACCTGATTCATTTAATCCTCGCTCCGTACTAGATAAAGCCACTGAGGCTGAGAGGTTACTTGACTTAACCAAGACTCCACAACTAGTAAGTGGCAGAGTTGGGACTTGAACTTAACTCTCTTGATCTCCACAATTGATAACCCTGTACCCAAAGCTTATTCACTTATGTGTCTCCCTGGCTCTACTGGGTTATTGCTCCAGGCCATGGACTGTGTCTCATTTCTCTTTCTATCCTGGTACCTTGCCTAGGGTCTGACAAAGGCAATTAACTGCTTGCTGAATGAATGAACATTATGGAACGTTTTAAGAGGCCAGGAAAGACTCATCATCTTAGACCATGTGTAAAGAAGAAAGGGTGGTATTATTTCTTATGTTGGTAGGGTTCACAGATTGACTTGAAGTTGTGTATATGATACCCAGGTCCTTTTATAACTAGCCAGTAAAACTCTCTTCCTCCCGTTTTCCCTGAGGCACTGCCTGAATGTTGGCAGTTCAGGAAGTGTCAAGGCACATAGTTCCAGCCAAATTCTTCAATTTGCTGCACTCCAAGGATGGCTCCACATGACCTATTTATTAGGGAAATAGACTAAACCACGTAGTGGTTCTACTTACCCTGAGGGCAGATCTGTGGGAAGACTCCTCATTGGGTTAGGCCATGGGCTTTCATCTGCCAGCGCTCCTCTGACCATAGGACTATCCAGTCGGTATGTGGGTGGCACATAGAGCATATGCCAGGCTTTAGCTATATCAAGTGCTATGGCAACAGCCTGGGAATTAGAACAGAGAGACCTTGGCAAACATTGGCCAATCAACGGGAAGCTTGCTCAGGCTCATTATTCATGAGATCCATTGAAAGGGAGACCTATGTAAAGAGGCTAACTTCTTGAAAAGGTAGCCTGGAGACTGGCTTTTACCAGCAGCCTGAGCACAGCAGTATTCTGGTACTTGCTCTCCACAACCTGCTTCTAAAGGAAAAAGAGGCTCTACCAAGACTTTGTAACTTTCAGGCTGCTCTCCCCAGTTTGGTGAGTTCATTGTAGATGAATCAGAAACATATGGATCAAATTTCCTCCTAAATACACATGGGTTTGGCAATTAAAAGAAAATGTGTGTAATATAGCAGATTT